GGTGCTGTGATTAGTCTGTACCACTCGGTGGCAGTGTGTATCGTCCCGCGGCTCACTGTCTGCGGTGTATACCGGCCCCCGGCCCGCTGTCGGATGTACCGGCCCCGACCCACTCGGCGGCAGCTTTAGCGGGAAATCAGCTATCAGTTGCGTAATGACTACACTACATCCTACTGATCTTCACCGGCGACCGCGCGTAAGTTCATGTAAGGTTTTATAAAACTCCAGCGGAGGTCACAACATTCACAGAATCACTGTTCATTAATGTTAAATTACACCAATTTTATCCACACTAAAGCTTCCCATAAGCCTTCGATTGCTGCTCAGATGATCGTTGTTCATATATGTATCCAACTTCCTACATCTCCGAAACCCGCACATTCAGATTTGCCTGTCTGGGTCCGTCTGTGTGCTTCTGACCGATACACACATCACTCGATCTGTAGTAGGTATTTCGTTCTGGCGGTGCACCGCAGTGTTTTCACACGCCGGTGCCGGTACTGCTGGCGCAGTTTTACCGCGGCCGCCGTACGATACCGTCTGGGAGTGGGGTAGCTCCCAGCGCCCCCGCCGCCGCCGCCTCTGTTCAAATCCCCTGGGAGCGCGTGCACCACTCCCTGCCGATCAGCGCCGATTGAGCTGCGGGGGGGGGAGGCAGTCACAGTGCTCCCGACTCCGGTCCGCCTCGTCTCTCTCCCCCCCCCCCCCCCTCCAGGGCAACTGCGCCGGGTTCCGACTGTTTTCCTCTGCCACAAGGCGGCGTCGATTGGGCTGCGGGAGCGCCACTGCGCCGGGCCCCGGACAGCTGTACGAGTATGTCCGCCGGGCTGGGGACTGAGACAGGTCGATTTGCCGTCGCCCGGCTGGTGATAAGGACCGATTGAGACAGTTAGGTGGAGAGCCGACGGACATGACTCGAGACGATGACTGTGCATAAATGGAACTTGCTGAGGTCATCCACATCTAATGTGGTAACGAATTAGTGTTTACCTTATGTGATGCCGTCATTAAATCTGGCTCAGTTGGAAAGTTCGCGCAGATGTTTTTTCGCTGAAGTCGTTAGGAATTGCGCCGTCATGTGAAACTCAACATCTGAAGAACAGGATGGCAGTGAATTAAAGGCAATGAAAATTTTTAGGCACTGGGTGAGAAATTAAGTAAAGCAAATGCATGCCGGAGGACAAATTGAAGGCGAAGCTCAAAACTGAATTTATTAGACCTTAATAAGATTTGGCACCTAGTCAGAGTAACCGTTACGAGCCTTATAATACATCAAGTGCTGCTTCAACGTCTCAGGAGATATGAAATGCTCTTCACGGACAGCTGGCGCTCGCCGAATCCCTCAGCTCTTTATTTCCTTTGCTATAATGCTTCTCTGCAGTTTTTAACAGCCGTCCGAACGGAGTATTTTCGCTCATAACGCGTCTGCGGCAAACGTAGACCTCTGTCTGCCGATACCGGCTGACGGTCGGAGGGCTATCGGCGGCGGTGGGTCGCCACCTGCACTGCTCCGGGCCGGCGCTCGTCACCGCCCTGCTGCCACTGCCCCGGTGTCTGACTGCTCTCGTCACTGCTCCGGTGTCAGTGTGCGCGGTGTCGCCGTCCCGGTGTCTTGCCGGCTGCGGCGTCGCCGGATGACGGACGGCCGACACGGTGCGGGTGACGGCACCCGGCGCTGGCCGCTGTCGTTTCAGCTAAGGCGATTAACGGGCCGTCGTTTCACCGCGAACACACCGTGTTCGGCTGGCCACAGAATCGCTACATTGATCCAACAATAATCACCCGTCCAATTAAACGGTGGACGACGGCCTGGTGCAGTGGTCGAAATCCGTTGATATTGCCTTTAATGGACAGTTTATCACGAGCTGTCCGTTTTAGATCGGCTATATTTTGGTTGAAAAGTGCACAAATGGGCACCGTTTGTGTTTTTAAGCGACTAGAACGAGACGCGTGATACGCTGACCGCTTCCCGTTCCGGTCCGATGTCCTGAGAACTTTGTGTCGTTTTCTGAAATTGCCTCAACGAAGGAACCGACGACCCAATGAGCGTGATTTGATCATTATCATTGGATGCAGCGTCAGGAAGGAATTTGCAGGGATTGTACACAAGTAGGTAGCTAACGTGGTCGATCATTAAATCTGATTTTGTTTTCGTGAGTGACAGAGCTGTTCGGCAAGCTCTTGCCGAGTTTGTCATATGGTGCTTGCATTTTTCAGTTGTATTGATGTGTCGCTACGAGTGTAAGATGGTGGAACTTTTTGTGAAAGTCACGTTAAGATCTTCTTGAACATGCTTGTGAGATATTTGTCGCAACATTGAAGGTTTTGTGTTATTTCGAAATTGCAATCGCAATCGTCTGGTTTGACGGGATCCCTGTTCGCGTTTTTTTTCAAACACCGACTTCGGATTTTCACATAACTTTGTTAAATTGACCCTTTCGATAGGCGTCCTATGTTTGTTGACTGATTGTGCTGCATGTTTATTGGAATGCCGGCCCCTTCTCCTTTAACCACCTTGTGCAGTGTGCACGCATGAATAAGCAATAATTATCGCGTGTCTGCTCACGAGTCTCTCGGCTTTAGCCCCGCGGTCCGGGAGGCGGACCACACCAGCTCTGGTCCCGCAGTCCGGGGAGGGGGATGTTGTGCGCCCGCCCGCCGCCACCCCCGCTCCGCGTCACGGCTAGTCCGTCCGTCTCCGCTGGTCTCTGCCGCCCCTGGCTGCCCCGCCCGCTGCTCTACACCGTCTCAGGGGACCGGAGACAGCCATCTCAGTGCTGACCGATCGGCCACGGCACGAGTCACTGGTCACCACTGCACGATGTCATCACGGAGAGAGATGGGCCGTGTAATGCGCTGCGGGGGCCCGGACGGAAAGGCCCACATCAGTAGGTGGAACTATGGTCATGAGTACCCAAATATAGGAACGTCCCCATTTTTGGGAACGGAGTTCCCAAATATGGGAACGGGCGTTCCCATTTATGAGAACGGAAGGTAATTTTTCGGCCGTTCGCCCACTAAAACTCATTAGTGCATCACGTCTCAAAAAAGTGCACGCTAATTTAAGTATCTACTAAGTCTCTATAAAATTATCTTTAATCTGACCGTTGAACAAGGAAATTGACCGTCGAATGATATTTTTAATGATTTTTTGAAATGACGGAATGGTGAAAACATCGCTTATACTACAGTTAACATGCAATTTAAAGGAAAATGAAGCGTTTTTTACATTTTGAGGTCAAGTATAATAATTTTCGCCTGGTTATGAAGTTTCATACTAGCGACACCAGCTGCTGACATATGCAAGCGAACACGCGGAAAGTCCCGAGGTAATATTGTTGACTTTTGGTGTCGGGGCGCACGACCGCGTGGAACGTCAGTGATTTTACCGAACTACTGTTGTAAACTCAGTTTCAGTGGTTTAAAATTATTCAGCTGTATTTTATCATCCCAGAAAGGCATATTTTATTTGGATGCTAGCTATTTAGCGTTGTTTTATAAGGAGCGTCATGAGTGTGGTTTTTGTCTTCCGTGTTTCAAAGCATGATCGTTTTGGGGAAATTTCTCTTATATAGGTCGCTCTGTGTGGCTTATTTATAATTTTTATGCTGATTTCGATCATTCCTCGTGCCCATCCTACCAGGCCTTTTGCCACTTACACTCATTAAGAAAGGAAAAAACTAGATTTTCATTGGGACTAGGTGTTTTGAGGGTGTAACATATTCAGCGTTCCCATTTTTGGATACTTCCTTGTGCTCGTCAACTATCGGTGATAAACAGACGGGTGCTTGACATGTCTCCACCCTCGGCGCGGACGGTGGATATAGGTATGGAAGACCTTGTTGAGCATCGCCGAGCGCTGTGAATTACGTAATCCTGCAGAGGGGGGCGTGCCCCCTGCGGGATCGACGGGAATAAGAACGCAGAAGACCCGGCGAAACATGCGACGGTCTTGCCGGAAAGGTCATCTGATGATTGTTGCGGTAACAATAACTTACGGCGTTGGACGTGATGCTTGTTAATGAAAAGAGCCCCTGAAAGGCGTCGGTGAAATCGTTCCCAATTTTGGGTACGCCGTTCCCATAATAAGGAACGCTTGCAGCGCCAGTGTACGAGAGCGTTCCCAAATTTGGGCTCGCGGCCCGGATGATGGACTGCTTTAGAAATAGGGGAAGGATTTGAAACTACGATGGGCCTTACAATATCAAACTCTTTCCCAACAATATTGAGGCAAATATCAGGCGGTTCACGATCGTTTTATATTTTTTGGACGTCATTTAACGGTTCTTTTTCTTGTTTTAAATAATGCCTACATGGCGTTCCCATATTTGGGTTTATCGTTCCCAAACATGGGAACGAAAATGCGTTCCCGAAAATGGGTACGCTTGACCATAGTTCCGCCTACTGACATAGCAGTCGGGATCAGCCGCGGACGGTGGTATTTCGAGCACCTGTTCGTATAACTAGGAAACCTGGCTGCCGATATCAGCAGCACGGCATTGAGGGCACTGGCGACTGCAGCAACTCACAAAACACTATCACTCACTATCGGCTCGCCACTCGGGAGCCCCGGAGACTTCGTTACGTCATAGCACACCAACACTGAACAGCCCTGTGTGCTGGGTCGTTTGGCTTGGAACGAGACGCACACAGGAAGGAGACGCCCTTCTGCTGACTGTTTCTCTCTCTCTCTCTCTCTCTCTCTCTCTCTCTCTCTCTCTCTCTCTCTCTCTCTCTCTCTCTCTCTCTCTCTCTCTCTCTCTCTCTCTCTCGCTCTCTCTCTCCTTGGTCCCGGTCTGGTCGTTCTGTGGTCCCGGCCCCTCAGGAGTAAGATAACTGGCGTTATCTTAAGTTAATCCCGTAACGCTTCGGCATCGTATGCTCCATAGCATACTCATGTGTTGGCTGTTTATCGGCCGGCCGTCTCTCTCTCTCCCTTATATCCTATTCACCTTCCAGGCGATCGTTAAGAGAGAGGAGACGGTCGACGAGGTAAGGAAATGAAGGTAAGTAAAACCAACGCAGATGGTTGGAGGGGTGGGTGGAGGAAAACGTGCTCGGCAGCGACCGCTGCTGGTCCGCTTCACTCGCCCGGGCCGCGTTGAGTGGACCTCAGCCGTCCCGCTCACGGCGGCCCGCTGGTGACGTCACGAACCCTCCGGCGAGGTCAGGTCGGAACTCCGCTCGACAGTGCCGGCCGGCGCGGCTCTAGAGGCCAACCGCGGATACGCGTTTGAGCAAGGATGCGGCGTTACCATTAACTGGCATTTGATCAAATGATCAGGTGATCAGCTTTAGCTTTGGTGTGGTCCCGGGCTGTCAAGAAGATCTGGTGGGTGGCTGTCAGCGGACACCTCGGCCGCGGTCAGCGCTGAGTTGGCGCGCTGTCAGCTCAGCTGCCGAGTTGTGTTATATGGTACAGAGCCGGTAACAGCTCCCCCGCAGATCAATCATCTAATGGTGCTCGTGAGCTGAGGCTCAGCTGGTGTCATCGGAATTCCCTCCGTGGCGTGTGTCATCTTCGTGACGTCATTTTTGGAAAGTTCATCGATAATGATTAATTCTCATGATATCATACAGGATATATCACCGGTTTGTTATCCAAAGCTCTCCACTAGCGCATTAGCAGGACTCAGGCGGTCTCTGTTCTGACAGCAGTGCCCGCCTCCCTTCGTCGACAGTCTGCGGACGGCCCCAAAGATCGCTCGGGCTGGCATACTCCCCACATTATGTACAGTCTAGAGTATGGTAACTGAGACTGGCCCCTTCCCTCGCTCCGCAGATTCTGGTGACTGAGACTGACCTTCCCCTCGCTCACAGAGTCTGTTAACTGACACTGACTCCTTCCGTCCCTCCATAGAGTCTGTTGACTGATACTGACCCCTTCCGTCCCGACTGAGACTGACCCCTTCCCTCCCCTCCGCAGAGTCTGCGGACGGCCTCGCCGTCTCAGGTGCTGGACCCGAGCGAGGTGCAGGAGGCGATCCGGCTGCACTTCAGCCAGCTGCACGGGCAGCTGCAGCTGCGGCAGCTGGCGCTCACCGAGCAGCTGCTGCAGGCCGCCCAGTCGCAGCGCACCGCCATCCGCGACACGGTCAGTGGACGGGACACGGGGGAGGGCGGTGGCCGCCCAGGGAGCGGGCGGTGGCCGCATGGTGCAGGTGAACCTGGCGAAGATGGCACGAACCAGCACTGTTGTCAGTCGGGGGACTGAAAGAGGACGACTCCACTCTTCACAGTCGCCGTGCAAAGGTGGTTTGTTCAGCTCCTACTGCATGGTGGGTCTTTGAAGTCCTCGCTGCAATGGTAGGTCGTCATCGATTGTGCACTACCCGGGAAATATCTAGTGCAATGGGGGGAACCGAACGACTTTAACCCGCGACCGCCTGGGGGGGGGGTCGGATCCGACCCCCCCCCCCCTCCGTTTTTCTTGAATAACTCATGAACCACTTTCGCTATCTGCTTGAAACTTGGCATACCTTCTCCCCCATCAATTTGACGTCTCCTGTGCAATTTTTAAGAAAAAATTTCCAAAAATTTTTGAGATATTTCGATTTTAGTGATGTAACTACATGGCGTTTTTAGTCAAAAAGTGGTAAATGTTTAAAAAATCGCCAAAAATCAGGGTTTGAAGCAAATTGCAAATTAAGGACATCAAAAGACGCAGCTCAACGAGTTCTTTTAAATGGCTGTCTCGGATTTTCCATAAAATGCGTTTTTCACCCCTAAAAATTCAAAAAAACCCTTGACCTGTACCTAGTATGACCCCTATACGCACATGGTACCTTCACTAGGCCTTTGAGGTCATTTTTGGTGAGTTTCGAGCAGCAGCTATCGATTCCGCTGTCCGTAAGCCGATTCATGCAAAACCCCTGAATTTGACCTTTGACCTGACCTTGACCCGAAAGTTGACCTCAATCTTAAAATCTTAAGAGTGCTTTGGGAAGGTCTCGTAGAGACCTTTCGAACGCCGCCTCGCGGGGCTCGATACGACCATTGGTTCTCGAGATAACAGGGGGGGGGGTCGGATCCGACCCCCCCCCAGGCTGTCGTGGGTACGGAAATAGCCCAGGCGGTGCCGGGTTAAATTGACCACGTTGTCATATGTTTTGTTTTTGTTAGGACTACCTGTGTTATGCGGAAATTCATCGCTAGCCGTTTGTATTTTGTCTGCTTATTGGTGGCCATTCTGAAGGGCACCATGCTTATCTAAGAGGAAAGGTATCCGAAGTTTTTGAGGCACATATCTGTGTTGAATCAGCTTTGACTTTCGGAGCTCTACTCCGGTCAGTTCTCACTGGTGGGGCCCCGGACACAATTGACTGGTGTTTGGTAGTGCTGCTGCTGCAGCAATTAACGTCGTTTGCCTCCACACTGTCTTTAAGCCTGCCTTGAAGGGACCTTCACTCAGATATGCATACACTGCTGCACTGTAGCTGGAGCGGTCTTTTGGTATATGTGAAGAGGTCATAGCGAATACCCAGAGACGATAATCTCTCTTGCGACTCCTTTGATTGGCTTTTGATACTCTGACAAGCGGTTTGTAAATGTGAGCGTGAGAGTAGTCTCGCTGCGCTCCCGTCGGCTCTGAGGAGCAAGAACATCAACACGCCAATCTGCAAGTCCGTCGTATCCTAGCACGTGTTTGACCGACTGCAAGGGTAGATTCAGATGCATCAATTTGTGGTGACCTTCAAAGGGAAAGCACTTAATTTAAATGCCGACAAGCTTCTTAACTATTTTAAGTACCTAGAGAATTAAAAGACCCTTGAACGTATGTGTGTATTTTTTAATGACTTAAGATCAAGGTACACGGAGGCTGGTGCGTCCTCAAATATCTTGTCACTGTACGCTGTCTCACTAATTCTGGTTAAAACGCGGAATATTTCGTCTTCCAGGACTTAGCTGCCACTGGCTCTGTCCATAAATCCACCTCGGCGACACGGATGGCAGCCCGGCCCGGCGGCCCATCTGCTCCCGCTGGGGAGTTGGGGGGGGGTGCTGAATTTAACGGCAGTTGGCCTCGCGGTCGGGTGACGGGTGCTGGGGTGACACGCGGCGGCAGATCAGTGGCCGGGCCGCCCCGCTGGCAGGCTGGGGGAGTGGAGTTAGATTAGTGGCAGGCTGGGGGAAGGAGTTGAATTAGTGGCCGCCCTCCTAGGAGTATGAGTTAACGGGTGGTTAGTATGAAACTGGACAAAATTTGATTAAGCATAGCATCTCCAATAATGAACAGATTTTAATTATTTTTGGCAGGTGAATACTTCCAGTTATTTTATAGTAACAGCTCAGATTTCAACTTTCTGCTATTAACTACTAGAAAACAGTGCGCCGGTAAGTCAGCAAGCGTTCCGGGACCTGTTCGCGCAAGTTTTTGAAAATAACACAAATTACAAAAATGCTACCATTATGCGTCACATTACGCCATAGGATGTCACCAGATCTTAAGGATATGTGATTATCGATAAGTTCTGATGACATGCAGATGTTTTGCATGGTGGGCACGGCAAGATCACCAAGAAGAAACAAACCGGCGCCGTCACCGAACAGTTGGGGCTCTCTTAGTGATTTCTGGGAAGAAATTTTGGAATTTTCAAAACGTATGACCAATTAATATGTCCACAAGCAGGAATCAGGTACAGAAATAGGATGGAGGTGACAGAGGCACAATTTCGTACACAGAAAACCCGCCTGCGCCGTCTGTCACAGGGTCCAATGCAGGGTAGCAAAAACATGGAGATGCATATGGACGATAAATGTGAGTTCACCTGCAGTGGCAGCAAAATGCCTTTCATTGCCAAATTTTACACGTCCTCAGCTGGTGGAGACACTATTCCACATGTGGATCTCACCTTCGCTTTCGACTTGAGAGCAAGTACCCACCCGAGATGCCCGTCTGGCTTCCCATGAGTCCGAGGGGATCACGCGTCCAGTTACTTGCCGAGCGCAGGCAATGTAACGGGCGAAGTGTACTATGAAAAGTGTTTGAATGGCGTGTTTTTACCACTTATTGAGTCTCAGAACACAGGGCATGATGCTCTGTTAGGTTCTGACCTTGCAACAGTCACAGTACGCGCGCTAGAACACGAATCTTCTTGAGGACAGGGGCGGATCCAAGGGGGGGTCACATGGGTCATGGCCCCCCCCTTGAGGCCCGGGGGCCCAAAGACCTGCCAGGGGCACCACCGGCCTATCAGGGGTATCACAGTCCTGACAGGGGCACCACAGGACCGCCAGGGGCACCACAGGCCTAGCAGGGACACCACAGGCCTGGTGCCCCTGGGCCCTGACAGGACTGTAACGCCCCTGACAAGCCTGAAGTGTCCCCGGTAGGCACGTGGTGCCCCTGACAGGCCTGAGGCGCCCCTGCAAGGGCGGTGGTGCCCCTGGCAGGCCTGTGGTGTCCATGGCAGGCCTGTGGTGCCCTTGCTAGGCCTCTGGTGCCCCTGACAGGCTTGTAATGCCCCTGGAAGGACTGTGGTGCCCCTGGGCCCTGACAAGCCTGAGGTGCCCCTGACAGGCCAGTGGTGCCCTTGCTAGGCCTGTGGTGCCCCTGGCAGGCCTCTGGTGCCCCTGACAGGCTTGCGGTGCCCTTGGAAGGACTGTGGTGTCCCTGGGCCCTGACAAGCCTGAGGTGCCCCTGACAGGCCCGTGGTGCCCTTGTTAGGCCTGTGGTGCCCCTGGCAGGCCTCTGGTGCCCTTGCTAGGCCGCTGGTGCCCCTGGCAGGCCTCTGGTGCCCTTGCTAGGCCGCTGGTACCCCTGCGCCCGGAGAGGACTGGTGCCCCTGAAAAGTCTGAAGTGCCCCTCGGCAGGCCCGTGGTGCCCCTGACAGGCCCAAGGTGCCCCTGCGAGGCCGGTGGTGCCCCTGGCAGACCTCTGGTGCCCCTGGCAGGTCTGTGGTGCCCCTGGCAGGTCTGTGGCGCCCCTGGCAGACCTGTGTTGACTGGTGCCCCTGCTAGGTCGCTGGTGCCCCTCACAGACCTGTGGTGCCCCTGGGCCTTGACAAGCCTGAGATGCCTGGCTATGACAGGCTCGTGGTGCCCCTGATAGACCAGTGGTGCCCTTGCTAGGCCTGTAGTGCCCCTGGCAGGCCTCTGGTGCCCCTGCTACCCCTGCGCCCGGAGAGGACTATGGTGCCCCTGAAAAGCCTGAAGTGCCTCTCGACAGGCCCGTGGTGCCCCTGGCACCTGACAGGCCCAAGTTACCCCTGCGAGGTCGGTGGTGCTCCTGGCAGACCTCTGGTGCCCCTTGCAGGTCTGTGGTGCCCCTGGCAGGCCTGTGTTGACTGGTGCCCCTGCTAGGCCGCTGGTGCCCCTCACAGGCCTGCGGTGCCCCTGGAAGGACTGTGGTGCCCCTGCCCCTAGGGGTGCTCATGGGCCCAACAGGTCCGTTGTGCCCCTAACAGGCCTGTCGTGTATACTTGCTAGACCTGTGGTGCCCCTACTTCCTGGCAGGCCTGTGGTGCCCCTGGCGGGCCTGTGGCGCCCCTACAAGGCCGTAGGTGCCCCTGAAAGGTTTGTGGTGTCCCTGGAAGGACTTTGGTGCCCCTGACAAGCCTGAAGTGTCAAGGACAGACCCTTTAGACGCCAGGGTCAAGTTCGTCGGACTGACAACGATTTGCTTACCTGATAACGTTCCTGGTAAGTACTCACTACTCAGCGTCCACAACATATATACACATAGCACCTATGCACATAGCACATTCATATATACTTGCTTACAATTGGTAAATGTGGTTGTGGCTAAGAGTTAAGATACTGACTAAAAATAAAAAATAAAAATAAAAAAACTGAAAATGGGGGCACCACCAAAATGAAGTGGACGAAATCCGTTGAGTTTTTAATTTTGGGTATAGGTAGGGGCACCACTTCGATTCATGACCCTCCCCTTGGAGTTTTCCTGGATCCGCCCCTGCTTGAGGAGGCTGGGGTGCCCGAAATAGCACGTGACATGAACCCGCCACTTACCCCTCAGATTTAGCCCATTGAGGATCTGTGGGGGCTTATCAAACAGAAAGTGTGTAAGG